ATAAAGGAAGTCAGGCATTATTTTGTTTATAATTAAAGACTATGTACTAAAGCACAATTTGAATAAGCAACTTTAATTAATCAAGGAAAAAAACCCAGCAACCTTCTACACCCATATTTCGGTTTCTAAGAGTGAGTAAAAAGGGTTTTCTTTTTTTCCCCTTTGAGGTTAGAAGCAGGTCAGGTCAGTAATTGGAGCTGGCTAGTCATCAGCTGGTTTGACCTGCTAGGCTAAAATTTTCTTTACTACAGGAAAGTATAATCAGAAAACCAGATGTATCCTCATCCTGAGACTGGAGCATAATGAAAAGCAGGCAGTCCATTTATTTTCTCCAAGCCTTTCAGATTTTCATTCAGCCATTTGGGGCTTGACTTTGCACTGGGCTGAGGAACTGCAGTGGGAGGCATTATTTAACTGAATCACAATCCAGAGATGTCCGAATTGAGACTCAAATGCTTGTATTGTCTTGGATCTCCTATTTTCTTCAAAAGTTGATTGCTATTATGTGTTTTTGCCTGAAAACAAAGAATGAACTACAGATTTCAAGTAAATAGCTAGGAGCCCGTTCGTTACAGGCTTATCCTGATTATAAGAACTATATATCGTGTTCCTATATATCGTGTATCTGGGATTGAATGAGGAATAGGAGAGCATATCCTTCTGAAGGTGGAGGAAGGGTTACATACAGTTTGAACAGGCATATTCCATATAACTCTTATTTTCATAACACAAACTACCTTATTCTGTATTCGACCCTGTACATTTATTCGTCCTACTTTCATCCTAAGGCTTCTCAGATGCTTCCTAGCCCAGTTCCATTATTGAAATTCACACACATGTGCTAGTTTTCATTCAAAAAGAAGTCACCTATGAACTTACCTGTGCATGTATCTTTGTAATAGAATTATTTATATTCCTTTGGGTATATACCCAGTAATGAGATTGCTGAATCGAATGGTATTTCTGGTTCTAGATCTTGGAGGAATCACCACGCCATCTTCCACAATGGTGGAACTAATTTGCATTCCCACCAACAGTATAAAAATGTTTCTATTTCTCCACAACCTTGTCTGCATCTGTTGTTTCTTGAGTTTTTAATAATTGCCATTCTGACTGGTGTGAGATGGTATCTCATTGTGGTTTTGATTTGCATTTCTCTAATGATCAGTGGTGTTGAGCTTTTTTTCATGTGTTTGTTGTTCGTGTGAATGTCTTCTTTTGAGAAGTGTCTGTTCATGTCCTTTGCCTACTTTTTAATGGGGGTGTTTGTGGTATATATACACGGTGGAATACTATGCAGCCATAAAAAGGGATGAGATCATGTCCTTTCCAGGGACATGGATGGAGCCAGAAGCCATTATCCTTAGCAAATTAATGTAGAAAGATAAAACCAAACACTGTATGTTCTCACTTATAAGTGGTAGCTGAACAATGAGAACACATGGTCACAGGTAGGGGAGCAATGCACACTGGGGCCTGTCAGGGGTAGGGTAGGGGGAAGGAGAGCTTTAGGAAAAATAGCTAATGCATGCTGGGCTTAATACCCAGGTGATGGGTTGATAGGTGCAGCAAACCGCCATAGCACACGTTTACCTATGTGACACACCTCCACATCCTGCACATGTACAAGGACTTAAAATACAAATAAAAATTTTAAAAAAGAAGTCAATTAAAATGCAGTGATTTTTAAACCCAACTTTTGTAGACATAATTGTGTAGATCATGAACCTGTTGGAACACTTTTAAGACAAGCTTGAACTGGTTTTTGAACATTAGGTGGTCAAAAGTTCTCTATAATAGTGACAAAGATATTTATTGGAAACATAGATGAATAAAGAAAAAAATTCAATTTACAAAACTATTAGTCTTCTGATAGATGTTTTTAAGGAGCACAATTAAGAAGGAATCTTCACCACAAACTGCAGAAAAGACTGTTTAGACTTCTGAAAGGCCATACCACGTAGAATAAAAGGGTCAATACTGTTCTTTTACCTCTTCTAAGTAGTTTTCAAGGAAGTTAGGTCAGGAAATGATCTGGAAGAATCAAAATGCTTAAGTACTTTATATACATATGAGTTAAAACTGGAATTATGCCTAGGGTACAGAAAAGAAACACTGCATTCTTTAGCTTCTGATTTTAATTCAGTGAAGGTGTTGAAGGAAATAAGAAATGTCTGGTAGAATCTATTCTTTTATGTGGCTTGGATATAGTTTAAAAGAATCAGGAGAGGGAGATGAGATATAACAATCCATATTAGGGATCCTTAAAAATAGTTGTGGAAGACATGTATTTTCTGAATCATCTCAGTCAGGCATTGCAAACCCTTAGTTATTGGAATGCTTTAAATACGACAGATGAGTTTATTATTTGTACATACAGTAGATATGTGATCCTCAAAAGGTTGGTATAATTTATCTCACCTTTTACATACAAAAGAGAAAAAACTGAGGAGAGTTTAAAAACCTCCATTCTTATCTCCTATCTTGAGCCAAGATGGTAGGTGCTTTTCCCAGAACCAAGATTGTAGAGGGAGTTCTCTTCTCTGGCTGAAGTTATCTTCTTGGGATCATTTTAGATGTTAGTCGCAGAATAAAATAATTTGTGCTGGATTTCATATAATAGTGTAGCACTTTACTCTATGAAGTTATTCTACTGTTGGATCCGTGTTCCCTGTGTGACGTTTGGAATGAACAAAAGGAGATAAGAAATGAAAGAGCCTCGCTGATAGATTTTTGATGATGTCCATTCTTCTTCCTTCCTCCTGAGTGAGTGAGTGCAGCGTCTCTCACAGATACCCACTCTTCCCATCTGACGTTTCTCTTCTCAGCTTCGCTTCCTCTTTTGTTCTCTTTGATTTTTCTGTTTTCTCTTTTGAAATTCTCTCACCCCTGCCCCAATTTTTCCAAGATTTAAAGCCACTGACAGGTGGGAAGGAATGGGTAAGATTTCAGTAGCTGTGGTTAGGAATCCCCTTATGAACTTAAGAACTGCACAAGTAAATAGGGCATGTCCCAGAGAGACACTGAAGTTAGTATGCTTGGGCCTATCCTAAGGAATTAAAAAAGAAAGTCAACCATGTGCTAGAATAAAGTTCTCTATACTTTCTTTTAAAAAAATTTTTATAATACATTTTACTGAAACGGATATATCTAAAACATTGTTATCATTCTATACTTTCTTGCTTGAAACACTGATTTGACTGCTGGTCATTCTGGTTTTTTGTCTTGTCAAAAGTATGTTAAGAAAAGGAAAGAAATGAAAGGACAGGAAAATAGCAAAAATGGCTGTGAAAAAGGCAGAGACACTGGAATGAGCATGTTGAGCAGAATTCTCATTTCTTGTCAGTCTTTTCCAGCCTTCCTCTCTGTGCTGAATCATATCTTTTTTTGACTTGGCTTTGGGAAAATGGTCATCTGATGAAACTTCTCTTTAATGCACTGACCAATTATGTTTCTCCTCACATAGGCATTCTTCCTCTCTCCCCTCTGGACGTAAACTCCACATATTTCTGATTTCTTTGTTTCTTTTTCACCCCCATCAACAAGGTGCCTGTTCTAGATTCCATTCTCTCAAGATTCTGCTTCCTGTGGTGACCACTAAAACCTGATGCAATGAATTCAGGGTAACATGGGCACAGAAAGTGAGATCCCTGATTCAAATGTAACCTTACAGAAAATTGACAATGGAGTGCTTCTTATGTCTTTGTCAAATAGTAGTGAAGACTGTCCTGTAACTTGTATGACTGTGATCGTCTTCATTTTTTTCCCTCCCAAGACAGAGTCTTGCTCTGTCATCCGGGCTAGAGAGCAGTGACAAAATCTCAGCTGACTGCAACCTCCACCTCCTGGGTTCAAGCAATTCTCGTGCCTCAGCCTCCTGAGTAACTGGCATTAAAGGCACATACCACCATGCCTGGCTAATTTTTGTACTTTTAGTGGAGATGGGGTTTCACCATATTGGTCAGGCTGGTCTCACACTCCTGACCTCGGCCTCCCAAAATGCTGGCATTAGAGGCGTGAGTGCCCACGCCTGGCCTTGTCTTCAAATTTTACCCTGTAGACTATGAACTTGTGCTACCATGATTTTAATTCACCTTATCCTTTTAACATTTTTATTTCTTCCTTTCTTAAATTTTTTTTTAACTACTTTCATCCCACTGACTAAAGCCCACTTTGTTGAAAGGACATAAAAAAATGAGACTAAGTCATTTAAAAGGTTTTCTATTTTTTAATCTAAAATTGCATATTCTACTTAATGTAGAATTTAGATCTCTAAAATAAAACAAAATATGGCAGACATATATTCATGCATTTTAAGTGGAAGCTAAACTCTATTTCTTAGAGAAAAAAATATATAAATTATGCTGAGAGCAAATCTAGGCATGTCTTTCAAGATTTGCCTGTTTGAAAATGTTACAATGATCTTAAAACTGAATGTTTTATGTTAACTGCAAATTTTAAATCCAGTCACTCTGAGTCAGACTAAATGTTCTTCTCCTTAAAGATGTAAATTTCATTCTTAGGATTTTGTTAAGTAATTAATTTTGATATCAGTGTATATGCTTAGAATCAAACAATATCTTGGAAAAAAGCGTATTACAAATTTAAAGAATGACCAAGTAGAAATAAAAATGAGAAAAAAAGGAAGATTCAGTATTATAATGGTGTGTGACTGCATCTTTGTTAATTTCATGGAGGAGTTATTTTTATCAGTTTATGAAAAATAGACATTTTAATATCTCATACAGAAAAAAACAAATCCGCAAAGTAAAGTTCTTTGCTTTAAGATGCATGTTTAGAAGTTAAAATCATAAAATGTTGAGCTAAGAGAATATTTAATCTGAGTGTAAAACGCTCCTTTAAAGCCAGTGCACAGAAGGGTGAAGACGAGTCACAGACTAGAACGTATTTGTATGACTTTTTTGGAGTGGAGGTGGTAGTTGCGTTTTCTAATTGGATACGTAGTCATTTTTACTTTATCTTATTTATTCTCCTTCCAGAATAGTACCAGGAAATTATGTTTTGGCTTCACTTCTGAATCAACAATGATGGTCGCCATCTGCAGAGGATGAGGGAGAAGGAACAGTTTAGCGTGAGTATCAGCATTTCTGAGAGTAATTATGTGTTTTTAATTGACACAGTTTATATATATGTATATATATAATTTTATTATATTGACCTATATAAAATTATATGTAATTAGTATATATAATTTTAATTGATAAAGGTACAAATATATATAGAGAGGTATTATATTACTGTGAAAAGAGAAGGTGTAAAAGCACCACAAACTAAATAATAAATGCTTTTGATATATACAAAATAAACATGGAAATGTTTACAAAGAGAATTAAATGTAAAAATGATATGAAAGAAATTAGAAAAAAAAAAAGAAAGGATGAGGAAGGCATCATTGCATATTGATAGGTTAGGGAGTTTGAAGGTACTAGAACTTAAATTCTATTAAGCTTTCTCTATTTCTCTATGCTTTATTTCCCTGAGAAAGGGGATCTTAATATTTACCATATTTCCTTAGTTGATGTCTGATATTTAGCCACTTGTATTAATACCACTTTTGATTCAGATGACTTATTATTATTATTAACCATACTGCAATCCACGTGTGCAATATGTGGTGTCTTGCCTGTGTCTTCTCATTCTTGCTATCAATTCCTCCAGGTTCAGTTTCTTTGAAAACCGCAGAAGGGAAAATGCAGTGGAGAACTTGTGAACAACTGGGGCAGGAAAAACCGCGGCTGCTTTTCAGGGCTCTGATCTAGGAACCCCAGATGCAAAGACATGCTGGCGTCCTCTTGCTCAGCCATTCACCAGGAAACAGGTGAGCCAGCTCGCTTCATCAACCTCGGTGTGCAATGTAGCTCAACAAATAACTGATTGACAATCCTTTATAAATATTAACATGGTGCAAAAGTAATGGCAAAAACCACAATTACTTTTCTATTTGTGTACTAATACTATTGGCTGTGTTGTCACATGCGTGCATTTGGATTTACTGAGGCACTGTTTCAGAGGGTATTATCTGGACTTGTTATACATTTTGACTCACTAAGAGTAATATTCCTAATGTACTTCTTTTTTTTTTTTTGGCATAGAAACACTATGTTGAGTCTTATTTTAATGTTTCAAGGTTTCAAAATTTTTCAGTTTGCTAAGCAGGTATGCGTATAGAACTTCTCCTAGGGGGAAGAGGAAGACACGATTGAATGAGTTGAAGACAAGAGTTGAGCTGTTACGTGTGTTGTGCCTTTGCAATATGGATAGAATCTATTACTTTTTTTTTTTTTAACAAAACCCCAAAACTAATTCAGACAGATAAGTATGGTTCTTCAAATACCTTCCTTAATATTTAGAATTTGTGTAATGATTGATGTTACTCAAATATGCTACAACTCTTCTCTCGGAATTACTCTTGGAGTCATTTTAGGAACTAAAAACATAATCCATCTATTTCTTTTGGGCACAGCAATTATTTTGACCAAATACTATTATGCAGCTGGATTATTCACCCTTATTCACCAAACTTGGCTCTGAATAGCCATTGCCTTTTCCCCCCCGCATCCAGAAATAAAGGCCACATACAAAGTCTCAAGATTGTTTACCAATGACACAATTCCAAAGAAAAGCTTAGAAAATGATTCACAGAAAGAATTTCAAACATGGAAGTGTTTGAGTGATGGCGGTGTCACAGGAATGATGTTGTCACGAAGCCGCAGTGTGAAGGTGCATACAGTAGCCACATGCCGGGCATGCTGGATTATGTGTGTATGTGCAGGCGAATTCTTCAAACAGGGAGTGGAAAAGCAGAATTCAGGGACTTGTTGCACACTACTCTGTAGGCCGGTGCCCGGATACCTAGTGTGGCCAGATGTTAGACTCCAGCCCTGAGATTCTGCAGCAGGGACCCCAGTACTGGTGGGCATCACTTGAGCTGCCCCAGTCTCTCTACTGGGGTGATCAGGGTACTGGAGCCGAGGACTTGTGGTGGCAGAAACTGGTTTCAGCTACAAGCTCACACCTTGACCCGTACTTGAATGCCTAAGCACTAGTCCGTAATGACTTCCATGGGCGTCTTGAAGAGGCCAGTCTGAAAGGAGTTGGCCTTCAACAGTTTACCTCCCTATGAGCTGTGTCCTAAATATCTCTTGGAACGCAACAGCATGGACCCATCTCTATCAGATCTACCACCCACTAAGAATGGGTACTAGATAGAGTGGCAAGGTCCTGAATCCAATTATACGTGGTTTTGTGACTTTGAATAAATCACTAGACCTGTCTGAGTTACAGTTCCTTAATTTTTAATGTGCAAAATAATTCTAGACTTGTTTTACCTTTGCAGTGTTATTATATTCTCTCTATATGACTAAGTGCCTGGAGAGTCTTCATACTATTGCCCATTATTTTGGAAATTTATGTGAGATTAAAAACAGAGACTTTTAACTTAAATACAGCATCTAACACATCATTTACCTACACAATAACTGCCCAGAATGTGTAACATCCACCTACATAAAAATTAGAACACTGTTGTTCATCGTGGTAGCAATTTAAATGTTACGAGGTTTTTTTTGGTTTGGTTTTTATATAAATTCCTATCTCATAATCCCTTTAGATTATCAAATAGTTGAAGAAATATTTCATTCATAAAAGCTCATAGTAGGCTTAAATGAGTTACAGGCACATCTTATATATGTGTACTCTGGCCAGATAAGCTTTATTTTTTCAAAGATTCAATTTTAATAAGCCTTTTATGGAACTTGCTATTTCTGCAGTGACTTTCTCCACACGTCATGTAGATTGGTATTTTTTTTTCTTCAAGTATGCCTGGATCGTACACCCTGACATGCTCATAAACTAAATGCAGAAATGGCACTGTAGAAATAATTATTTCATGCACAACATCCTCAAGTTCTTTCCACTGTTTAACCTCAGACACATTGTTCTCATTTCCACTCTTCACATGACATTTGTTCTTTTCACTGTTCTCTACTTTAAGTGGATGAGGTTCATCTGGTTTGTTGATGTTATGAAATATGGAATTCTCATATCAATGGTTCCAAAATCATATGGGAATACTTTACACCGTGTCTTTGCCATGATGCAGCATTACCTGGCATCATATAGAATGAGTTAACATGATATTAAATTACTCCTTTTTATGTCATTCACATTTTTTATTTTCTGAGGACCTTTGTCTTACTTCCTCTCTACGAAGTGTGCAACTATGACACTGAGACAAGAAATCTCATTGTGTTTGTTTGGAGTTGGATCTTTATATAAAATTATGTATATCGGTGTATTTACTTCAGGGTTTGAGAGAAGGGATGCTAGACAGTGGCATCGGAGGAAGTTCAATTATTTCGTGTTTGTCTGGCCCATCTAGTGAGATAAAACAGGTCAACGGATTTAAAAGAAACCTGCTGAAAATGATCTGAGCCTTTGCAAATAATGTCAGCTGACTTTTCCAGAATATTAATTTTGCTGCCCGAGATCATGAGGGTCAGGAATTCTTGAGCTGAGTGAAAACAAGCAGATGATTTCAGTTAAATTCTAATTTTAACCAACTATGACCTAGTATACATAAAGATGGCCACGCCTTCACCTTAGCGCCAAAGAATTATTGTAACTGCTCTCGTTTGATTGTAACTGCTCTCGTTTGATTTTTCCTTATCCTTTTAAAGTCCTGATATTTACTAAAGTATTCAAAACTGGAATGGTGGTTCTCAGATTGAGTGTGCATTGAAGTCACACATCGAATCAGTGTAGAGAGAGGCTCTATATGATTAAAACAAGACTACTGGGTCCCGCCCCAACCTTTCCAATTTTGTGTGCATGGGGTGGGGCCAAGGCTTTGCATTTCTAAGCAGTTCCAAGTTGATGCTGAGGCTGTTGGTCTAAGGAACACCCTCCAAGAAGCACTGGAGTGGACTACAGCAAGGAGAAAGAGGGAAAGTCATGGGCAGCAGCATCACCCTCCGGTGCACGTGCCGTTGCCAATTTTCATGAAATTTAAAATAAGATTCACACCAGGAGCTAGATTTAAATCTAAATCAGAATTGAAGGATGCAGATTTTTAAAACTGTAGGCTCTTGAGAATACTTCCTCTTCTTTTCATCTCTTCCTCATAATCATTCATACTTAAGTCTGCTGCTCAGTGAATATTGCAGAACTACAGACCAGAGACTCAGAGCCGGAAAGGACAAGTAAGCAAAACATTTGAGCGAGCCTGCTCCGGAGAGGATGAGGGGCTCGAGTTTTGGAAAGAACCAGGGGCTGGGATCCAGCACACCAGGCTTTCAGCGTGGACTCCTGCACTTAACAATTTTGAAAAGTTAAGAGACACAGCAAGACACCCCCACATTCTCTTAGGAAGGAAGTAAGCTTGCCTATTGCAGGTTCAGCTGCAACATCAGCACCTAAAGCAGCAAGTGCAGATGTGCAAAATGAGCCTCCGAAGGACCCACAGGGCTTGTGAGACTGCAGTGCAGCTTACATTCATTTCCACATCTGGAGAAAAAAAAGTTTCCATTAGGCACCCAGTGTCTACAATGGACATGAAGAAGAGTCTCACAGGCATGCATTGCTACCATCCCTCTAGAGAAGAGACGCACATTGGCCGAGGGACTCCTGAGCACCTGACTTCCTTGGTAAGAGCCTCTCAAGTGCAATGGCAATGGGCGGAGCTTAGCCAAATAATCTCCTAGTAGCAGAAGTTGTCCCTTCTGTGAGATGCACATCTCAGCACACCTTTGCCTGATGCCATTTAAATGCTCAGTACTCTCACTCCTTGGTGATTAGTCTGTGCTCACAAGAAGATTCTGATTGCGGGTTGGCTTCCCCTGGGAAGGTCTGCCAATTTAATCTGTTTTGGTTCCTGCAACAGTAAATTCTCATAGTTAATGAATAAGTTGGCTTAGTATGTGGGGAGAAAGAGCTGCACACACTACTTTGAATATCAGGTCCTTATGTAGTCAATCTTTCGGGTATCTCCACAAAGAGGCTCCTGATGGTGATTTGATTTGTCCTATGGCTTAAACTTCGGGACAAAATGTCTTGGTCCTGCTAACTGAGGCTGTGTGACAGCTTTATTTCTCTGAAATTATTACACTGGCATTCTCGCTTTACACTTTAGTCTAATGAGTTTGGAAAATGCGCCTGGAAAATGTGCCTCTGTCCCTGAGTAGCAGCTTGTAAAGTGGGGCCAGCTCTGGGACCCTGGCAAATCCTTCAGCTCCGTAATGCTGCTGCATGGGGCCTTGGGGAGCTGGGCTGCCAGCCTGGGTCTTCCGTGGCAATAACCACGTGTTCCTGTGAGGTGGTGCCCAGCATTTAGTTTTCACCTGTACTAGCTATTGTTATAGTATAAATTGCTTATCCTCCCTGGGAGGCTCAGATAATGGGTCTGATGTCCATTCTGACATGGAATTTAATAAACTTCCTAATCTAATGCCGGTTTTTGTTAAAAATAATCTCAAGGGAGAAAATGCCCATATTTAATGGACTGAAGTTTTCTGCCAGCATGTGACTTACGGACTCTCGTTTGCCTGTGAGTTCACTGCAATCGTTTCTTCAGCATCCACCAAAGCACTGCCTTTGCCCTTCGTGTTCCCCAGATCTCCATTTTTTTGTCTCCCTTGCTTCTCCCCATCAGAGCAGGCTTTGTGAGAAGGTGACTCCTCCAGGCATGCGGGGCCTCTACTCCCAGAATGATCTGGTGCT